GGCGCAGTACTGTTGCTTCTCAGCAAAACGGTGGAAGGTTCAAAACCCATCACCATAAACATCTAAAATGTACAAAAGAATAAAACGTGGGTTTGGGCTCATCTGGTTCAGTCATTAGCCTTTTTACAATGCACCCTCATGGCAGACATGACTCTTCCCACAGCAGCATGAGGGTGAGAAATAGGTTGTGTTACCCAGTAATCTGTTATTAAATTTCTGATATTAAGTAGCAAACAGAATCTACTTTATTATACACAGTATATATCAAAATGCTCACTAGATTATTTAACTTAAACACTTGACCCATTTATAAAATTATTATAAAAACAGAAATACAAACATTTTGTGATCTTGGTTTGTTTGCTTCATGCATTTTTTCCTCCATCAAGGTAAAAGGCACCACATAGATAAGACTGTAGCATTTTTTTTAACCTTTGGCTAGCCTAGAAATGTAGACCATCAGTTCCCGAAGCAAAATGATTTAGCTCTGCATGTCGGTCTAGCCACGCTCCATTGGAACCGCCACAGCCCTGGTTACTCTGGTGCATGGCCAATCTATCTGTTTGGTGGGCCAATCACAGAGCTCTATCGGTTTGGTGAGTAAGATGTTAACTGTCACTGAGCGAAACTAAGATAGCGACACCCCATTTGAAACAACTTTGGCATCAACTTTGAGTCCTGAGAAGATTAAAGTTACTTAAGTTTATTTAGAAAAACCATGCATCTTCTCCTTATTCGATAGTGTGTGGTGGACTGTCCCATTGACTGACATTCGTAGGTGAGTAATCCATGTTGTTTGTTGTCCAATAGCATGCAGAGACAGTTTGAAAGGCAACCATAGATCCAGGGGTGGACTGTGATGGCAATTTTGCCCGGGCATTTCTCCATCAGAGCGGAGGTGGGGGTGTTAGCAAAAAGTACTCTGGCTGCTGGCTGTCAGAGCTCAGAGTCAGGGGAGCTGGGGTCAGTTGGACTGGCCCAGACTGAGTAAGTGGTCCACCAAGGCAAACGCCCCCCCCCCCCCCCCCCCCCCACACACACACACACACACACACACACACAAACATCCCACGAGTGGGAGCCATCAATGGGTTGTAGCCAGAATATATATTTGCATATATATATGGTTTGCCAGGCTAACATTTGGCTCTCTTTCTCTGTGGTATTATACAAAAATTACTAGTCTGAACTTCATGAAACTTGGTGAAACTTTGGCAATCACTCAAAGTTGAACCCTGGGTATTCTTTTAATCAAAACCTTGGGAGCCGACCTTGGCAGAGGACTGTCCTCACTGAGAATCCTTCTGCTATTTGTGACCCAGGTCATTTCTAGCAAGTCATCCACCAAATAAATCACGTTAAAAGACATGTCAGCAGTCCTCCTGAAATAGACTCCCAAAGTACCTGTGTCCACATTCCGTGTCTGTTGAAGGAGCACCAAAATTTAAGGTGAACATACTACAAATAACTGCAATGGTGAACCACCTCCCATTATTGTTGAAGATGTGTGCAGACCACAGATAGCTTAAAATTCATTTCTACACCCTTTTTGAGTTGCATTGGGTGAGAGGTGGAGCATAACTGGACAGGTCAACAAACCATTACAGGCCTACACAACTAGCATCACAAATACATACGTGCATGTGAAATGGGAAATCACAGTGCACCATGCTAAATATCCCATATACAGGGTCCAAAATTAAATTTTTTACTCACCGGCCAAGTTGGCTGGTAGATGATGAAAATCTACCGGCCAAGCATATTTTTTACCGGCCAAAATTCTAAATGATTTAGATCTACCTAAAGCATGTTATTCTATATTATGTTGATTCCAAACAGAGTGACAAAATAATTAAAACATCAATTAATAAGAAAAACAACTCTTTTGTCATTTTTACCATTTCTTTCTTTCTTTATTTTTAGAAATGTTTTTATGAACTCTTTCATTGAAATCTAGTCAGACTCCTTGTTTTCTCTATCCATGAAGTCTGGCCTCCTGCTTCTGACACCGTCTTTGTGCCAAAGCATTACAGCCTCATTTGGGTCATAGTCCTTGATCTCTGGAGAACACAGCTGCACCATGAGAATATCTGAAAGTGTGTCAGGGCTAGGGTTGTCACGGTAACCGGTGTAGCGGTAAATCCCAGTAAAAAAGTTGACAATAATAATAACCGTCTTGTTTTTAAAAAAATATATTATCTCGGTGGATTACCGTGACTGCGGTGTAGGCGCGGTGACCCTTACCAGCCACCGTATCATCTGCTGAAGTTGCTGGCGGCACATGCACACTTTAGCACTCGGGACATTTATTATCCCTCAAAGAAGGAAGTATGGGCATTTTTGGGATATTTGAAGATTGCCGAGGGACAGTTGTCTGTGAAAGGCAGCAACGCTACGTGGCCATCATAATGTAGCCATTGTCTCACGACTCCGCCATCTCCAGTTCGCCACTTTTCACAAAATCTTCTGGTTGCCACTGGTCCTGGTGGTTTTTCTTCCAGTTCGACGAGTTTTCTTTTGGAAGGCTGGCTGATTCCAGTTAAAAACCGCCACATTTCACCGCTAGTTTTAACACGAAGCTAACTGCTAACTTGATAAACTGATTGAATGGGATAGGTGGAAATGACGTTGGATGCGGCGCTCACGTTTCGTGTACGTTTGTGTACGATGCATGCGGGCGGGAGGAGTATCAGAAATCCATGGAAGATGACTGATAAACATAACTAATTTGGTGCAAACATTTACTCGCCATGTGGCAGGTAGAGCTCAAACATTTACTCGCCAAATGGAGCAATTTGCTCGCATTTGGCGAGTGGCGAGTGTTAATTTCGGACCCTGCCCATATACTTTGGAGTAATTTGAACTCAATAAATATACAGCACAACAAAAAAGCAAAATAACAGAAAAATCTACATGAAACTAACATTATATATAAATTTAAAATGTAATGACATAGAGGTTTGTTAAAAGGCTAAAAGTGACACAAATGCAGGTTGCATGCTAAGCAACAACTAACAAACTAAACTAAAATTAAAAGAAATATCAATTTGAACATGCAATAAAAAGAATCCAATATAAATCAATTGACCACCTGGAGAAAACTATCTGAGGTGTATTTTATTGTGTTTTTGAGTCAGAACAATTTACAGTTTACATGGAGGAGACGGCATTCAAAACGTCTACTGCAGCCAGCCACAAGGGGCGCCTGTTTCAGTTCGGCATTGCTATTCTGTTTAGTTGCCGATGACAGAAATATTTTTGCATCAGAACAAATCAGCAGTTAGAACATTTATAATGAAACATTTCAAATCAAATCAATTGGTCAGGTAAAGTTTTTGTATGAGTATTATCCTGTCTTTGTGTTTTATAGTTAAAAATACCCAGGTGCTAAAATAGTAGAAAACTGTTTGGAGTGGTACAAATGTTTGGAATCGCCTGTTTTAGTCAGTTTTACTGTATGTCATCAGTGAAGTCATGTTTAAACATGGTTTCATTTCTCTGTTGCTTACCTTCACTAGCTGGAGGTCTCACCTGCAGACATCACAAAGCAACGTGAAACCTTTCTCTGTTGACTGAAGAAGGAACAAGGAACTGTGCCACTAAACTGCCTGCAGTCCTGCAGGTGTGGATTTTTGCGCCCTTTGCTATTGTGATTAATGGCAATGAAATCTGGGCCTTGTCCCAACGCCAAGAGATCACAATAGCTCTGACAAAATCGGTCAAAAGGATCTGTCAGTGCCAAGAAAAAATGTGATGAGAAAAAAGTGTCCACGGGGCCAGAAGGCTGGCAGCCATGCTGATTTATCACAGATGTGCATCTCTGAGACCAATGGCAAACAGGACTCCAGCATTTGGGAAGAATTTAGTGCTATCATGTGGCCATTACAGGGCAAACTCAAACGTCGGAAAGATCAATCTGATTGGGTGAAAACACACGGATATGCACGCATGTGCTTAGACACACCTGCTTGAAATTTATTTGCAGCCTTCTGCAGAGCACTTAAACGCTGAAGCGGCACATTAGAAGTCCAAAATGCCAAATTTTTGTTGAGTAACATAATCTTTGGTCAAATCTGCCAAATTTTGCAAAGCATCTCTTTTGTTTTGTAAAATTGCTTGCAAACTGCAGCTTAGTTCTGACATCCTGATGGTTTGAAATGTTGATGTAATTTTATATTTGTGCTGCACTAAATTGTGGAGCAACAGAGAGGCGTTTAAATCCCAACATTTATTTGACAGTTTTATTTACTGGGTCCAGAAAGAGAGGCTTACTTCTGAAAAACAATAATGTGTCAGTGTGTTTTCATATTTTAAGATAGACAAAGTGGTTTGTTTATAGTTGATTAAACAGTGAAAATGTACAAGAAAACTTTGAATTTTATTTTAAAACGCGTTTTACTTATATTGTAATTATAGACACAAAAGAAAAGAGGATAAAAGGAAACTGGAGTTTTTGGTTTTTACATCAGAGATTGACCAAACACGAACTAAGCAAATATAAACTAGTAACAGAAGTTATTTAGTCTTAGTTTTAGTGAGGGTAACCTGTTGATGGAAATGCACAAGCCGCCATGTTAAAATAATAAAGTAAAAGTATGCAGTTGGTTGTCTTTTCCTTTAAGTCTCCTGCGGCATAACACAATTAAACCACGGTTTATTACTTTCTTTTAAATGCAAATGATGATGTCATATTGGTCTTATTAGGGCATTCAAACCAATTATGTTATTTTGGCTTGTTATAATGCGATTACAGCGCTTGATCTGGGTGATTGTCTTTTTAAGAAGCAGTGAGAGTTGAGGGGGGGCGGTGCGGTTTCACACCCTGGAGTGGGAAACATGGGCGGGACCAGCAGCCGCTCAAAGGCTCACCGAGTCCGCGATGCGGGGAGAACCCAAACAAACCAATCAGGTTAGACCACTCAACCCCGTTAGCCAATGAGCGTCATGTGTGGGCGGATCCTGGAATTGCTGTTGTGCTTACAACGTGGGACTGCGGAGCGAAAGGGAAAAGTAACTCAGGAGAGGAGAAAACTTCATACTAGAGAGACGCGCTCGGAAGGCGGGGGAAACCTATTTAGCTACTAATCGATCCGCTGAGATGTGACCACAGACGGCACCTGATAAGCTGCTGGTTGGGTTTATTCGGATGGGACCGAGTGCGTGTTTCAAAGTTGGATTAATGCGGTGAGCCGCATTTGGACTGGATGAAGAAGGAGCGCTGGAGTTCTCACCGCTGTGACTAACTTATTTACAACTCGCTGAACTTTTCGGGACCAGTTTCCATCACCGTCAGACGTCTGTCTGCTGTTTTAATCTGGGACAACCACTATTCTTTAAAAACAACTTCGGCGCTGCGTCTTTTAACAATTAGACGCACGTTATCGAGGGGGACTGTGAGAACGCGATTTTAGATCCTTTTATGGACACGACCGTGCAGTATAACCACTCATTCACGAGGACAGTGGGTGATACGTGTTCGTTTGTGAATTACCTTTGATTTGTAATACCTCGAGGAAAACTTGAGAGCGGAGTGGAGACTTGTCAGAAATGAGTTCTGCTGGAGCGGACAGCCGCTCACCGCAGCAGGGTTGTTGGTGCCGCTAGCCTAGCTCGGTGTCCCGACGAGACAATTCATGTGCCACCAGAAGCTTTTACTTTACTCGGAGCTGTATTAATATTCCACCCGGAGAGCTCGGCGGCCGCGCTATCAGACTGGATACAAAATGGCGGCGTCCCGGGCACGGTTTGGATGTGTGTCTCGGTGTGTTTTTTATTTAATGTTGTCGCTCGAGCTGCTCAACGGTTACGGAGTGAGTTTGGATTCGCCGTGTCCTCGGGGCTGTGTCTGCAGCGGGGGCTCGGTGGACTGTGGCGGGCTGGAGCTGACAGCGACGCCTCTGGACCTTCCCGTCCGGACCGTCTCCTTGTAAGTAAAGCGCTAACCTATTTATTAACCAACCCATAACGGGGAACCTTTGTGGTGGTGGGCACACTAGCTAACAATTTAAAGCCTTAAACTTTCTGTTGTGTGTGAGTGAGAAATTAGCCTAATATGAATTAAATACTTTCTTATTTGTTTGTTAATAATGTGCAGAACTTTGAGTGTTTTCGTGATTCGGACTTGAGTTGTCTATCAACTGTAAAGGCTAAAGGCGGCTGTCACCGTAGCCATGACTGTGATAGCTAGCTACAACTTTTTCCTTCATGAACAAACGTGTCAAACTTCTTTTCTTCTTGTTAACATCCTGCTCGGACACGCAAATGTTGATATAGTCAACTGTTTATAACAGTGCCGTGTTTTACATTAATTTGTATTAGTTTAAATAAGTACATAACCTTTTGACTCAGGAAACATGACTTAGGTTCAGGTTTATTCATCAGGTGTTTTGAACAAAATTGTTTTACACGAACACTTTTGCCCAAAAATTGGATGTTTATTAGAGATGCACTTGTTTTGATTTTGTGGGCTCATAGTAGTTTTTGATTTTTGTGCAGATTTGAACTCTAAATTATTTCTAAGAGCTAAAGTGAACAGAAGGATTTATTTTATTGTTGATTAACTTGTACATGTCTAATTCTTGAAGGATGTGCAACTCCTAGCATTTCTGTTTGGCACTGGTGCGTTCACGGACCTGGACGAAACAAAAATGCTTTGTTTTTTAGGGGGTCACTGATCAAACTGAATGTTGGTGTATTCCAATCACCTGCATTTTTTAAAAACGTTTTATTGTGATTTACACTTTAATGACCCATAATTTCTCTGAAATGTGTTGTCCAGCTGGTCACATTTACTTTCAGTCTGGTTTGTCCTTGTATATTTTCAGCTCATGGATGCAGGCATTCTAATGTAGACTTCTTTCCTCTGGATGAGTCAAACAAATGTGTTCTAACACATAAAGCTGTTCATCATTCACCCAGGTCCCTGACAAGTATTATCTATGTTCCCCCTTCTGTGTTGTAAGCCATAACTCACTAATTCTTAACTATAAATGAATCGATTTCCCAGTGGAAGTTAGACTGACAACAGTTGATTCCCTGTCTGCCAGCTCATTAAGGAAATGAGCCAATTTTGAACATTTTTTTCCTAAAACTTTCTCCAGTGTTCACTTACTTCAGCATTTATCATGCTGAATGACACCATTTTCTCACAGACAACCACTCTCTATCCTCCCAAACCATGTTTGTGCTCCCCACAGCACACTTAAACTACTTTGTCCACTTGTGGTCGATAGTCATCAGTGACAATTAAGCATCTTGTCCCAGATTTTTCAGCTTTGGTTTTACTGTGCGTTGCTGGCAAATTGAGGTTAAACACCTAAAGCCCGAATACCGCTCAGGTTCCTGTGTGCAGCAGTTTATCTTTTCTCTGTGAAGTCGAGAATTCAACTCAAAAAAGTTGTCTAGAAACATGAATAATGGCTCTTTTCTCACGTTGCCCTAAAGCACCACTCAGCCGAGATCAAGTGCAGTTTATCATATGTGTACACCAACACACACTCTACCCCCCACCCCCGTCTCTTTGGATGGTGCTTTTCTACAATTGGACAAATGTCCTGTTTGAGGCAGCTGCTGTAAGCCCCTGCGCCGCTCTGAGACTTCTTCTCTGTTATCTCCTCCAAACCTTATCAGTGAAGATTTAAGCACCTGCAATCTGGATGTTTTCAAAGGGAATGGCTTTATGACTTTGAGTTATCTTTTAAAACACCTACGGTTGCATTTTTCCATACAAACTGAGATAGCAACTTTATGTTGGCAGGTAACTCAAAGGAACCAGATGTATGAGGTCTAAATCAAGATGGATCACTAACATATTCAGATTCAAAGATTCTTCGTTCAGTTTGGTTCAGATGAAGGCTTCTTTTTATTTAGTTTTGACTAATAAAAGTTCTTAATAGGTTCTTTTGTTTTACCATACCATATTTATTTATAAAGCACCATTTCAAAATAGCATGGCAGCTAATCAAAGTGCTGTGCATAAAAAGCCAAATGCTTGACCAAGAAACACAATAAGAACAGGCAAAATACATAAGAACAAAGCATAAATAGTCGGAGATAAAAATTCCTACTAAAAACAATAAAATAGAACTGTTAACAGCACTATAAAATAAAATAATGTGACGAATGATAAAAACATTTGAAATCGCACAAATAAAACGAAATAAAATACCAGATGGTGTGAGGTGCCAAAAGTGAGCAACTAAATCATAAAAATGGAATGAAAAACTCAAATCCGGTGCTAGATTGTCATGAAAAGTGTCACGGAGGGAATGCAATGCTAAAGAAGTGCGTTTTAAGGGCCGACTTGAAACTGCTAACAGAGGGAGCCAGACGCACATGGACCTTGAAGTTAATCCTAAATTTGACTGGGAGCCAGTGTAAATCTGCGAGGATGGGTGTGATGTGCATGCGTCTGTCGGTGTTGGTTAAAAATCTGGCCGTGGCATTTTGAACTTTCTGCAGTTTGCTTAAGGCTGAAGCATTAATCCCAATCAGGACAGAATTTGCGTAATCCAGACGTGAAGTAATAAAAGCATGAATGACTGACTCAATATCCGGGCGTTTGAGGATTGACTTAAGACGAGTGATGCGGCGGAGTTGGAAAAAACAGGACTTGACAGTAGCGTTGACTTGTGAAGACATTGAAAGATCAGAGTCCAGTTTCACACCTAGGCTAGTGGCACATGATTTGAGATTTAGTGGGAGAGTTGAGACATCTAAAGCACCATTCATGTTAGTGGGGCTAAAGAGTATGGCATCTGATTTGCTGTCATTTAACTGTAGGTAGTTTTGAGAAAGCCAGGATCTAACCTGGGAGAGGCATTCTGACATTATAGAAAATGAGTGCTGTTGGTTGATTTGAAGGTAGATCTGGCAATCATCTGCATAAAAGTGGTAGTTAAACCCGAGACTTGCTAAAATCTTACCAAGTGGTAGAATGTAAATTGAAAAGAGGAGAGGACCCAGGATGGAGCCCTGTGGTACTCCCCATGGAAGTGGGACATTGGGAACACTAAAACACCGACCATTAAGGTACAACTTAAACCATTCGAGGGCAGTACCGGTCACACCCACCCAAAATTCGAGTCTGTGAAGTAGGATGGTGAGGTCTACAGTGTTGAATGCTGCAGTCAGTTCGAGTAAGAGTAACAGCACATGGGAGCCAGAGTCAGTCAGAATCAAGATGTCACTGAGTACTGTGTGTGTGTGTGTGTAAAGCACACACTTCTTATTCCTATGTTGTACTGGATTATTTGCTTCAAATATGGCTTTTTCCACTGAAAACACATTCTAGCTTCAACTTCACAACAGTGTTACAACTATCAAGGTGTTGCAACTTTAAGCTCGTTTTATAGTTAATTGGTTTTGTGATTGTGCAATTTCTCATGATTAAATGTATTGGAACCTAATTACTAAATATATATTAATGTAAAACAAATGATTAGTGCTGTGTTCCTTAAACATGATCTACAGTTTGTCTGATTCAAACAAAAATATTAAATGTAGTTTTGAAGGCGTTTTGTAAAGGGCAGCTAGGTGGCCAGAGGGCAGGTTTTCGGCCCGTAGCCCATTCATCAAAAAGAGCCTGAAGTCCTCTGTGATACAAGAAAGGCGCTTAACTCTTGAGTAGATGGAGAGAAAAAAATCCAAATGCGTTCCAGTTGTCTAAATATTCACCCTTCAAGACCCTGACGGTCCTCCGAGAAAAGAGCCTTGATGAGGAAACAAACATGTTGGCACAACCATGACAGGGCAAGCTGAGCCAACAGGAAACTAAATGAACTAGTGTTATAAAACCAACATGTCAAACTCTTACAAAGACCATTTACTCAGGTAGATTCACTGGTAATTTAGGTGACTTTATTGCAATAACTGATGTCATTAAAATGCTTCGTCAGGTTTTTGTCTCAACTCTGTCTTCAATCATAATTTTTTTTACAATGAATGCTTAAAAATGATGGCGCTAAAGCTTCTTTAAAGTAGCTGTTTTACATGTTATCAACCATTAGTTTTCCTGTTTTTCTGTCATAGCTCTTTAATATTTAACACACTAACCATTAGTCTCAGATGTTTGCCTACTCTTTATGATTGATGAATAGCTTAACAACATTCGTGCTCACATTTCCCCCTCGGGAGTGGTGTTTTATCTTATTTGCAGCCACAGTAATGTGTATAAAAAGCATTTCTACCCACAGTGCCACTGGCCTAATGGGGTTTTGTGAGTAAATAAAAGCTTGGGCATTACTAATTTTGGCTGTGATTGCTGCATTGGATAGAGATGAAGCAGATAGCAGTGTGTCTGCTTGCTGGAGTGTCTCAGTTTTTTCTCGTATGAGGTTGTAAAATCCCTTCTGTCAGAGCTACAGAGTTTTCATGGACTCCGTATTTTCATTTGCTTGTATAAAGTCAGTACAGGCTGCGATTTACCCTGGTCTTCTGCTCTAATTTGGCATTTCCAGTGAGGTTTGTAAACGTGTTTGCCATAATGACTGGTGTTTACCAAGCACTGCTCCAAGTTAACCCCAAGCCATAGCCTTAAACCTCACAGTTGAAGCCTCATTGGTGAGGGCCACCCCCAACAGCTGGTTTTGGCTTCTACCCTCAGGAAATGGGTTTGTGTCGGTGGTTTCATGACAGGCACTGGGAGCTTAAGCCGCTGGTTGGTTGTGGACTACTTGGCAGGAGGAGTGGCTTCAAATCACCTGGCCTAAGAGAATATGGGGGGAGAGGGGTATGTGTTTGAGACGGGGGGGGGGATTTCCAACCACTGCAATGAAGTGTTTTGTTAATGTTATGGTCTGCTGCTGCTGCTGCCTTCAGGCTGGTTCTGCATGTTGGTACGTTATGTCAGTGGTCAGAAACCTTAGCCAACATCACACTCGGGGAAACTGGAGGTAATGAAACATTACGGGGAAATCTGGTTTAATG